ATTGCTAGGACAGTTTCAATAATTAACACATTGCATACATTCTTCCTAGTAGTTAATTGCTGTACAAGATGTGGACATGATATCCTATTTATAAACACTATTAGAACAAATCCCTCTACTCATTAAGAGAATGTAACTATATATCTATCCTCAGATGATATTCTATATTTAATGGAAAATAGATTTAGCAATGGACAGGCCTAGGAAGCCCAGTGATGTCATAGGAGATAGAGATAGCTGCCTAAACAATTCTAATGAAATGTGGGCAAGTGACTGTAGGAATGTGGCAGATAAAATGTCCAAAAAATCATGCACACTGAAGGTGAACGAGCTTTGCCAGTATGAGGTTTGTGAGATTGGGTACATTTCAGAGAAGGCTTCTACAGCTTATTTCATATTAGGGTCTGACCTGTGTTTTACATGCTCAAGTTTGCTGAGGAGATGGGAGAAAAGCTTCTTAGCCAGAGAGGACAAGGTGAGCCCAGAAGTGTGGAATTGCTTCCCATTTTTAGGGATGAGAAAGAAGTGGCATGTCCCTGAAGTGTGTAAATGAGAAGTAGAGACCTAGGAGCAGGGCAGCTTTGCAGATTTATTTATTTATTTATATTTTCCATCTGTGTGTTTGGTATGCGTCTCACTGCGCAGCTCAGACTCATAGTGATCCTCCTGACTTCAGCCTCCCCAATGCTGGGATTACAGGCATGTGCCACCATGCCTAGATTCAGTCACCAGCTCAACACACCTCAGGGCCAGCGCCAGTGCAGCATGTGGGGTCAGGAATCAAACCCTGGTCCCTGCACTTGCCAAAGCAGGTACTTAGTCTGATGAGCTATCCCTCCAGCCCTACCTTGGCAGATTCAAATCACAGCTGCGCCTCCCCTCAGTGGCCTTGGCCAAGTTTTTCAATGTTCTGCTGTTTTTGTACAACACACTTAATAGCTACTTGCAGCATTGGCTTCATGTGAACTTTCAATAATAATCACGGTAGTAAAACAACAAAGACAATGAAAACAAATAGCATTTATTACTACATATCAGATGCTGTTTTAGGGTCTGTCTTCTCATACCCAGTTCTCTGGCCTGCTTGCTAGGGCCAGGTGATTTCTTCTAGCTCATAGAGGATCTGGGTCAATAAGTAAAAATAGAAAGTAATCTGCAAAACATTCTCCGAGTATTTTCACTATTAATGAGTATACAATGTATAATCAGAAAATAATATTTGAATATATACTATAATGATGATAGTTCACATCACATTCTAAGAACTTTGTGTAAGTTCCATTAGCTAACCCTCATGACCCATTTAGGCCATCCCCAGGCCTCTGCCTGGTTCTAGAACCTTCTCTTGACTAGTTTGCTTAGTGTTCAAATATGGTGAGACCAGAATGCTAAGTGAAATAAATCTGAAGTGATTTAAATCTCACATAGATGCTATCTCAATGTTGTTTTAATTTGCATTTCATGGATGGCTAGTGATGTGGAGCATTTTTTCATATATTTATTCGCTT